AACACAGAGAGTTGAGTTGATGCCAAAGAGCTGGATTTTGGTCTCCTCTGACCACAACATTTCCCACCAGTCCTCCTCGGCATCATTCAGATGTTCAGTGGCAGACTTCAGACGGGCCTGGACATGTGCTTTCTTGAGCAGAGGAACCTTGCGGGCACTGCAGGATTTCAGTCCTTGTCGGCGTAGTGTGTTACCAATTGTTTTCTTGGTGACTGTGGTCCCAGCTGCCTGGAGATCATTGACAAGATCCTCACGTGTAGTTCTGGGATGATTCCTCACTGTTCTCATGATCATTGACACTCCACGAGGTGAGATCTTGCATGGTGCACCAGACCTAGGGAGACTGACACTTGTTTTGTGTTTCTTCCATTTGTGAATGATTGCACCAACTGTTGTCACCTTCTCACCAAGCTGCTTGGCCATAGTTTGGTAGCCCAGTCCAGCCTTGTGTAGGTCTACCATCTTGTCCCTGACATCCTTGGACAGCTCTTTGGTCTTTGCCATGGTGGAGAGTTTGGAATCTGATGGTTTGATGGCTCCTGTGGACAGGTGTCTTTTATACAGGTAACACAATGAGATTAGCAGCACTCCCTTTAAGAGACTGCTTCTAATCTCAGCTTGTTACCTGTATGAGAGACACCTGGGAGCCAGAAATCCTGCTGAATGATAGGGGATCAAATCCTTCTTTCCCTCATGAACATGCAGATCTGTCATCATTTGTTAGACGCATTTCTGCTGAATTTGTTGTTGTATTCTGTCTCTCAGTGTTACACCGAACATTCCATTGTTAGACCGATCGTTTCTGTGTGAGGGGCGAACATTCCATTGTTAGACCGATCGTTTCTGTGTGAGGGGCGAACATTCCATTGTTAGACCGATCATTTCTGTGTGAGGGGCGAACATTCCATTGTTAGACCGATCATTTCTGTGTGAGGGGCGAACATTCCATTGTTAGACCGATCATTTCTGTGTGAGGGGCGAACATTCCATTGTTAGACCGATCGTTTCTGTGTGAGGGGCGAACGTTCACCATCAGCAGGGGGGTAAATACGCATTTCCTTCACTGTATACTGTGATGATGATGATTATTATTACTAATTTTTTGTGTACTCTTATTATTATGTTTTATAGGATTAATTATTTTTTTTTTACAAGATTTATATGATAATGATGATGTTGATGATGATGATGATTCAGGTTTTATAATATTATATTTTACAGGATTTCTACAGTGATGATGATTATTATTATTATTATTATTATTATTATTATCATCCTCATTGTTACAGTATCCACAGAGCTTTACATTATAAAGAGAGATGACATTGTTACAATACAAAACAAGCGTGTCTGGAGTGTCGTCTCATAAGAGTTTACAATCTCATAGATTATATTCTAGGCTTTCTATTGAGAATATTATTCTGTAAAAATGATTTTATTTTCTCTTTACAATACAGATTTTTCTATGTTTTTTTTACCAATGTTGACCAATGTTGGCTCGTAAGTCATTTTGCTGTAAAAGTGCATCATTTCTCGCTGACACTAAAATTATATTTCTGCTACAAAAGTACAGAAATGGTGTTTACCAATGAAAAGAATTTTGTACCCAATGTTGTGCATCTACTTGTTCTGTAACGCTCTCAATGACATAGTTACATAGTTAGTGTGGCTGGAAATAGAAAAAAGTCCATCCAGTTCAACCCCCCCCAAAACAAAAGTTATAATCCTCCACCCACAGCAGAGGAAGGCAAAACCCCAGCAAAGCACGATCCAATCTGCTCCTGCAGGGGAAACATTCCTTCCTGACCCCCCGAGAGGCAATCGGATATTCCCTGGATCAATAATCGGATATTCCCTGGATCAATAATCGGATATTCCCTGGATCAATAATCGGATATTCCCTGGATCAATAATCGGATATTCCCTGGATCAATAATCGGATATTCCCTGGATCAATAATCGGATATTCCCTGGATCAATAATCAGATATTCCCTAGATCAATAATCAGATATTCCCTAGATCAATAATCGGATATTCCCGGGATCAATAATCGGATATTCCCGGGATCAATAATCGGATATTCCCGGGATCAATAATCGGATATTCCCTGGATCAATATTCGGATATTCCCTGGATCAATAATCAGATATTCCCGGGATCAATAATCGGATATTCCCTAGATCAATAATCGGATATTCCCGGGATCAATAATCAGATATTCCCGGGATCAATAATCGGATATTCCCGGGATCAATAATCGGATATTCCCGGGATCAATAATCGGATATTCCCGGGATCAATAATCGGATATTCCCTGGATCAATAATCGGATATTCCCGGGATCAATAATCGGATATTCCCGGGATCAATAATCGGATATTCCCTGGATCAATAATCGGATATTCCCGGGATCAATAATCGGATATTCCCGGGATCAATAATCGGATATTCCCGGGATCAATAATCGGATATTCCCTGGATCAATAATCGGATATTCCCGGGATCAATAATCGGATATTCCCTAGATCAATAATCGGATATTCCCGGGATCAATAATCGGATATTCCCGGGATCAATAATCGGATATTCCCTGGATCAATAATCGGATATTTCCTGGATCAATAATCGGATATTCCCGGGATCAATAATCGGATATTCCCGGGATCAATAATCGGATATTCCCGGGATCAATAATCGGATATTCCCGGGATCAATAATCAGATATTCCCTGGATCAATAATCGGATATTCCCGGGATCAATAATCAGATATTCCCGGGATCAATAATCGGATATTCCCTGGATCAATAATCGGATATTCCCTGGACCAATAATCGGATATTCCCTGGATCAATAATCGGATATTCCGGGATCAATAATCGGATATTCCCTGGACCAATAATCGGATATTCCCGGGATCAATAATCGGATATTCCCGGGATCAATAATCGGATATTCCCGGGATCAATAATCGGATATTCCCGGGATCAATAATCGGATATTCCGGGATCAATAATCGGATATTCCCGGGATCAATAATCGGATATTCCCTAGATCAATAATCGGATATTCCCGGGATCAATAATCGGATATTCCCGGGATCAATAATCGGATATTCCCGGGATCAATAATCGGATATTCCCTGGATCAATAATCGGATATTCCCGGGATCAATAATCGGATATTCCCTAGATCAATAATCGGATATTCCCGGGATCAATAATCGGATATTCCCGGGATCAATAATCGGATATTCCCTAGATCAATAATCGGATATTTCCTGGATCAATAATCGGATATTCCCGGGATCAATAATCGGATATTCCCGGGATCAATAATCGGATATTCCCGGGATCAATAATCGGATATTCCCGGGATCAATAATCGGATATTCCCTGGATCAATAATCGGATATTCCCGGGATCAATAATCGGATATTCCCGGGATCAATAATCGGATATTCCCGGAATCAATAATCGGATATTCCCTGGATCAATAATCGGATATTTCCTGGATCAATAATCGGATATTCCCGGGATCAATAATCGGATATTCCCTGGATCAATAATCGGATATTCCCTAGATCAATAATCGGATATTCCCGGGATCAATAATCGGATATTCCCGGGATCAATAATCGGATATTCCCGGGATCAATAATCGGATATTCCCGGGATCAATAATCAGATATTCCCTGGATCAATAATCGGATATTCCCGGGATCAATAATCAGATATTCCCGGGATCAATAATCGGATATTCCCTGGATCAATAATCGGATATTCCCTGGACCAATAATCGGATATTCCCTGGATCAATAATCGGATATTCCCGGGATCAATAATCAGATATTCCCTGGACCAATAATCGGATATTCCCGGGATCAATAATCGGATATTCCCGGGATCAATAATCGGATATTCCCGGGATCAATAATCGGATATTCCCGGGATCAATAATCGGATATTCCCGGGATCAATAATCGGATATTCCCTGGATCAATAATCGGATATTCCCGGGATCAATAATCGGATATTCCCGGGATCAATAATCGGATATTCCCGGGATCAATAATCGGATATTCCCGGGATCAATAATCGGATATTCCCGGGATCAATAATCGGATATTCCCTGGATCAATAATCGGATATTCCCGGGATCAATAATCGGATATTCCCGGGATCACCTTTCCCTGTAAATGTTCTATCCAGTTATTTTCTGTGTCAAACAGCAAATGAAAAAATGATACAAAAATCAAACAAATGAACCAACAGAACCATTGTGGGGGAAGAAGTTGACCGCTTGCTGTCCAGGGCAATTGTTGTAATTTTTCCACATACAGTACATTTATTTGCTAGAAAAACAAAAGCGTAGAAACCGCGAGAACCCTGAAATATTCTACATTTTCTGAAAGCAGAGGCCCTGGAAAATAAAACGGCGACTGTTGCAATTTGATTCTTTCACATAATGTTTTCAAAGCCGATTATCAAATGCAGAAACAATAGACTAAAATGGATTATATATAATACCCAGATATCGCTCTCACTCTGCCGGGCACGGCAATCGCTGCACTTGCTTGCATTTGCGAGTGGGCGGGGCGACGGGGGCGGGGTTTGCGAGTGCGTTTAAATTCTTAAAATGAATTTAGTTGATTTTATTTACAGTTTTTTTACACTTTTTTCCATTCAACTTTATTGCCACCAGTAAAGGATGAACAAGCCCCCTGTTGATAGATTAAGGCAGATGACAGGTACTCTTTATGAAGACATCAAAGGACCCTCATTTTATAGGGGAGGGGCTGAGCAGTAAACTCCACCCACCAATGTGCTGAGAATCACCAATCTGTCCAATGATTGCTCTCTGTCTGTCCTGCAGGTCATGTCGTTGGATTATCAGAACTTCCAGAATCCTCCAGAAGACACAAAACCGGCCAAAAGTCCTTCAGGAACCTGGCCTCTCCAAGGTACGAATACAGATACCGAGAATGACACCCGGCACCCGGGACAGGAGAAGTGGGACTGTGCAGAGTCCATACATACAGAATGGGGACAGATACCGAGAATGACACCCGGCATCCAGGACAGGAGAAGTGGGACTGTGCAGAGTCCATACATACAGAATGAGAGGAGATACCTAGAATGACACCGGCATCCGGGACAGGAGAAGTGGGACTGTGCAGAGTCCATACATACAGAATGAGAGGAGATACCTAGAATGACACCGGCATCCGGGACAGGAGAAGTGGGACTGTGCAGAGTCCATACATACAGAATAAGGACAGATACCGAGAATGACACCCGGCATCCGGGACAGGAGAAGTGGGACTGTGCAGAGTCCATACATACAGAATGAGAGGAGATACCTAGAATGACACCCGGCATCCAGGACAGGAGAAGTGGGACTGTACAGAGTCCATACATGCAGAATGAGAGGAGATACCTAGAATGACACCCGGCATCCGGGGCAGGAGGAGTGGGACTGTGCAGAGTCCATACATACAGAATGGGGACAGATACCGAGAATGACACCCGGCATCCGGGACAGGAGAGGTGGGACTGTGCAGAGTCCATACATACAGAATAGGGACACATACCGAGAATTGTACTGTGTGACGTCCAGTCTTGGTATATGATCTCAGTATCAGTCTGTAGTTGGTGAGATGTTCTGCAGGTTCCTCGGTGATGGATCTCTGACTATCTCTTCTTTCTTTCACTGATACCAGGAATCCTGATGGACAGACAGACTTCCCACCCCTCCTCTGCCTTCATCTGCTTCCTGTCATCTCTCTGCACCGTGCTCCTCTTCATCATCATCATCCTCTTCGTCACCATCACACGTAAGTTCCCCCCACACACCGCACATTAGATCCACACCAACATCCATTGCAATCTGCATCCTGGCTGAATGACTGCTAGGGGGTGTGTTCAAGAAGGAGTGATCAGCCAGACGGACGTGGTAGTAGAGGAGCAGTAAAGCTCAGTCACTCTTCTGTACTCCGTAGTATTAGTGATGAGATATTACTGACGATTCCGCTCCTCTGGGGCGTGGCAGTGGTCTTCAGGGGGCAGGTCTCCCACCTAGACAGGCTCCACCCCACTGCAAGGTGATTTGCCTAATTAAGACATTGCAGCACGAGTTTAGGTCGTTTGGTAGGTTCCCGTTACCTCAGCGATGATTGCTTTCACTTCTTTTTTCTTTTATGTTTTTAGATTTTTTTATTGTTTGTATTGTTCTTTTTCTTTGATGTTTATTGATGTGAAGTCACATGGGGGCCGACCGCGAATCTCTGCAGAAACTAGGGAAGTTGGTTGGTCCCAATGTAGGGATTTCATGATCCACCGGTGAAGGAGCGGACCACCGCACAGTGGTTGTATTAGCACTGCATCACTCTATGACATCACACTGGTCACATGGCATCACTCTATGACATCACACTGGTCACATGACATCCCTCTATGGCATCACACTGGTCACATGGCATCACTCTATGACATCACACTGGTCACATGGCATCACTCTTTGACATCACACTGATCACATGGCATCACTCTATGACATCACATTGGTCACATGGCATCACTCTATGACATCACACTGGTCACATGACATCCCTCTATGGCATCACACTGGTCACATGGCATCACTCTATGACATCACACTGGTCACATGGCATCACTCTATGACATCACACTGGTCACATGACATCCATCTATGGCATCACACTGGTCACATGGCATCACTCTATGACATCACACTGGTCACATGGCATCCCTCTATGGCATCACACTGGTCACATGGCATCACTCTATGAGATCACACTGGTCACATGACATCACTCTGACATCACACTGGTCACATGACATCACACTGGTAATATGACATCACACTGGTCACATGACATTCATTGGTAATATGGCATCACTCTATGACATCACACTGGTCACATGACATCACTCTATGGCATCACACTGGTCACATGACATCCATTGGTAATATGACATCACTCTATGACATCACACTGGTCACATGACATCACTCTATGACATCACACTGGTCACATGACATCACTCTATGACATCACACTGGTCACATGACATCACACTGGTCACATGACATCCACTGGTAATATGACATCACTATATGACATCACACTGGTCACATGACATCACTTTATGACATCACACTGGTCACATGACATCACTCTATGACATCACACTGGTCACATGACATCACTCTATGGCATCACACTGGTCACATGACATCACACTGGTCACATGACATCCATTGGTAATATGACATCACTCTATGACATCACACTGGTCACATGACATCTCTCTATGACATCACACTGGTCACATGACATCACTCTATGACATCACACTGGTCACATGACATCACACTGGTCACATGACATCCACTGGTAATATGACATCACTATATGACATCACACTGGTCACATGACATCACTTTATGACATCACACTGGTCACATGACATCACACTGGTCACATGACATCACACTGGTCACATGACATCCACTGGTAATATGACATCACTTTATGACATCACACTGGTCATATGACATCACTCTATGACATCACACTGGTCACATGACATCACTCTATGACATCACACTGGTCACATGACATCACACTGGTAATATGACATCACTCTATGACATCACACTGGTCACATGACATCACGCTGGTCACATGACATCCATTGGTAATATGGCATCACTCTGTGACATCACACTGGTCACATGACATCTCTATATGACATCACACTGGTCACATGACATCACTCTATGACATCACACTGGTCACATGACATCCACTGGTAATATGACATCACTTTATGACATCACACTGGTCACATGACATCACTTTATGACATCACACTGGTCACATGACATCACTCTATGACATCACACTGGTCACATGACATCACTCTATGACATCACACTGGTAATATGACATCACTCTATGACATCACACTGGTCACATGACATCACTCCATGACATCACACCGGTTACATGACATCACACTGGTAATATGACATCACTCTATGACATCAAACTGGTCACATGACATCACACTGGTAATATGACATCACTCCATGACATCACACTGGTCAGATGACATCACACTGGTAATATGACATCACTCTATGACATCACACTGGTCACATGACATCACTCCATGACATCACACTTGTAATATGATGTCACTCTCTTAATATGACATCATCCAAGTAGTGTTACACTGGTAACCAGGGGCAGACTGACAACTCATGGGGCCCCCAGGCACTAGGGGATCATGGGGCCCCTGTGTCCTGGCCCACACCCAAAAAAGTCTATGAAACAGCCAATGAAAGGTGCCAGGGGCATCTCATGGGGCCCCCTACTGACTTGGGCAGTGCCCGGGTGCTTAAATGGTCAGTCCGCCCCTGCTGGTAACATAGCATTATACTAATATGATATTACACTAGAAACATCATCACACTAGCATGACATCACTCTGATCATATGACATCACACTTCCCACATGACATCACATATGCATACGTAACATAGCACTACACTAGAAACATCATCACACTAGCATGACATCACTCTGATCATATGACATCACGTTGATAATGTGACATCACATGACTTATCTTTGGTGAATTTAGCATTGAGCCAATAACCCCCTCCCCCCATTATCTTTAGTAATTGGGTGGAGATTAGGGCTCTAGCGTGGAGGAACTCCACCTTTCCCGGATCTACAATGTCTCTGAGCTGTCCCCCACTGGGTGACCTTAGGGGGCTTCAGTTTGGAGTCAGTTGTAGGTCCCACCATCACCTCCTATTTCAACCACTGGAATGACTTCTGGTTCCTTGTCTCCGGCAGGTCAGGGAGTGGATATGACGGAGCAGAACATGGAGGTGAAGCTGAGGAATCTGAGTCTGGGGGTGCAATCCAAAGTAGAGGGACTGAGACAACTTGGTGAGATGGACCTCTGAGCCTCTAAAGGGGGGGGGGGGGGAGGGTGAGGATCGGGGGCATCCCATCTACTAACTCATATGAATGTTCTCCTCCACCAGGATCCCAGATGATGGAGAAAATGAAAGTCATGCAAACCTTTTTGAGAAACATCCAAGGTGAGTTGTGAGGGTGTCAGAGACTGGAGGACATAAGTGCATCCCCTGAATATGTTGTATCCAATGATCTGAGATGAATGATTGTGGAATGAAGAGGAGTCATAGAGACTGGAGGACAGAAGTGCATCCCCTGAATATGTTGTATCCAATGATCTGAAATGAATGATTGTGGAATGAGAGGAGTCATAGAGACTGGAGGACAGAAGTGCATCCCCTGAAAATGTTGTATCCAATGATCTGAGATGAATGATTGTGGAATGAAGAGGAGTCATAGAGACTGGAGGACAGAAGTGCATCCCCTGAATATGTTGTATCCAATGATCTGAGATGAATGATTGTGGAATGAAGAGGAGTCATAGAGACTGGAGGACAGAAGTGCATCCCCTGAATATGTTGTATCCAATGATCTGAGATGAATTATTGTGGAATGAAGAGGAGTCACAGAGACTGGAGGACAGAAGTGCATCCCCTGAATATGTTGTATCCAATGATCTGAAATGAATGATTGTGGAATGAAGAGGAGTCACAGAGACTGGAGGACAGAAGTGCATCCCCTGAATATGTTGTATCCAATGATCTGAAATGAATGACTGTGGAATGAAGAGGAGTCAGAGACTGGAGGACATAAGTGCATCCCCTGAATATGTTGTATCCAATGATCTGAAATGAATGACTGTGGAATGAAGAGGAGTCACAGAGACTGGAGGACATAGGTGCATCCCCTGAATATGTTGTATCCAATGATCTGAAATGAATGATTGTGGAATGAAGAGGAGTCATAGAGACTGGAGGACATAAATGCATCCCCTGAATATGTTGTATCTAATGATCTGAAATGAATGATTGTGGAATGAGAGGAGTCACAGAGACTGGAGGACATAAGTGCATCCCCTGAATATGTTGTATCCAATGATCTGAAATGAATTATTGTGGAATGAAGAGGAGTCACAGAGACTGGAGGACATAAATCCATCCCCTGAAAATATTGTGTCAATGATCTGAAACGAATGAATGCGGAATATGCTGTTATTTTTGTTATTCTGTATCAATCTGTTTTTTTTTTATTCTCCGTAGAATCCAAAGTGATGAGTAAAGTGGAGGAGATTGAGAACCTGGTCCTCCGGATTGTATCAGAAGAGGTTGCAGGTAATTGTGGAACACATAACGGGGTGCCGGAGATGGTACCGGGGATTTTCAGAAATATGTTACAGCTCATTCATGCGGGGGGGGAGGAGAGGTATTTGGGGCCTCACAATTTTAAAGGAAGCTTCTACTAGATTCTGATTAAGCCATCCTGCTCACAGACCCCCCACCCCCACTGAGCCAGGGTTGTGGGGATGAGGCCCTTGTCCTCATCACAATGGCACCTTCCTATGTTGAAGGAATGTGGCTCAGTGGGGATTAGGATGATCACCCATTCCTGGCCTGCCAGATCAGAAGAAATGTCCGGTGTGGATTTTTAGGAAGGGAGGCCGATGCCTTTTTTAATTTCAGTAGGGTTTGTGTTCAGCATCCAAACATCACTATCTAGGTAACCACACACCACCACTGGTAACTGTTGCCAGGAAAACCTTTTGGGGACACTCTCCTTCCTTGGCCTCACAAAGGAATGAACCTAGTTCCATTTTACACCGGCCACTGATTTATGGTTGGTGGTTATGATTCCTTCATGTAGAAGCCATCCTAAACGTCAACCTATTCTATAGTAACGGTTGCCTATATGCTGACTGGACAAGGATTTCAGTGCATCGTGTGTGTACAGGATGGTTGTGTTACTTTTTATATTTAAAGTGGAGTTCCAGACATTTTTGTGTTCATTAAAAGTCAGCAGCTACAAAAACTGTAGTGGAACTTTTAACAAACACACACGTACCTGTCCTGGAGCCCAGCGATGTTCTCACCCTTCTTTCCTCCACCGCGCCAGCATCTCAACTGTAGGCACCAGGCTGTGACAGTTTGTGGTTTCACAGCCTGGTGCCCACTGCGCATGCGTGATTCACACTGTGCTTCCTAATTGGTCCAGCAGTCTCCTGGGACCTGTGAAAATTCCCAGGAGACTGCGGAAGGGAGGAGGGGACGGAACGTCTGGCTCACTTAGCCGCGGAGAACTGAGCCAGAAGTGGGAGTGGATACCTGTCAAAACCAGGTACACCCTTCCCCCTCCCCACCAAAAGGTGCCAAATATGGCAGCGGAGGGGGGGGGAGGAGGCAAATAAGCTGAGCTTCCACTTTTGAGTGGAACTCCGTTTTAACATTCAAAGAAGGTCGCCTTCATTCAATCACCATGGAATGTGTCAAGATGTTGACAGTCCAAGAAAAGATTGCGAACCACCCCAATCCCTTCATTCAACCAAAGATAGATTTTGATTTCCAAGAAAAGAATGATAAATACCCCACCACCTTCATACAACCAAAAGCAGATCTTGGTTTTCCAAGAACAGGATTGGAAACACCCCACCATCTTCATCCAACCAAAGGCAGATGTTGACTGTCCATAAGCAGGATAGGAAATAACTGACGACCTTCATAAATCCAAAGGCAGGTATTGCCTGTCCATTAACAGGATGGGGAATACACCACCACTTTCATCCAACTGAAGGAAGCTGTTGATTGGCCAAGAAAAGGATTGGAAACACCCAACCACCTTCAACCAACTGAAGGCAGATGTTGACTGTCCATGAACAGGATGAGAAATAGTTGGCAACCTTCATAAATCCAAGGGCAGATATTGATGGTCTATTAACAGGATGGGGAAAACCCCACTATTTTCATCCAACCATAGATAGAAGTTGACAGTCCAAGAACAGGATGGGAAACACCCACCACCTACATCCAACCTAAGGCAAGTGTTGATTTTCCAAGAACAGGATGGGAAACACCCACCACCTACATCCACCCGAAGACAGATGTTAACTGTCCAATAATGAGAATTGTGTTGTTTTGATGATACAGGAACAATTATGGGAAATATTTGGAGTTTTTCAGAAGTTGGAGACTGCAACATACATTGTAAATTAAAATAATTGCATCTCCTTGTTTTACTGTCTATAAACCTTGTTTTCGTTGTATCGATTGTAAATATCTATAGAGAGAGAGGAGAGAGAGAGAGAGAAAGACAATTATGTTTTCTCACTTCATAGAAAAAAAAAAATCAGTGCTGTGGTCAGTAGTGCTGCACAATGATTGTACTTTGCTGTGCATTTCCCTTGGTACAAGTGGTCTGGGGTCACCTCTGGCCTCAGATTCTGGTTCATTCCCCCTACATGCCATGAAAGCACAACCATCTGAAATGTATCAACTGACGCTCCAGATAATGACTCTTTCCTTCTATTACAGGTTCTCTTTCCAATGACAATCAGAGAATACTGGCAGCTCTGGGGCAACTGGCAGATCAGATCTTTAAACCCAACAGCAGTAAGTTTATTCCATTCCCACCACCAAAACTTTCCCAAAGTTCTCTGCCCTGCAATCGCTGGTCTCTTTGGATGGAGCCTTTAGTAATGAAGGGAGGAGTTAAAGAAAAGTATGAGGAGGCAACTATAGAGCTTCATATGGGGCCTCATTCTGAGAACATTGAGGTTTCTTCTCAAGACATATGGTTGTATTCTGGACAGTCAGGCAGTCTACAAGGAGACACCAGCCATCAGAGCCTCCATTGACCGCCAGGGGAAGTTCAACGTACACTCAGAAAGAAACCTCTCCGGATAGATTTTCCCTCACTGAGGGGGGTAAAAGTAGAAAGGCTGGACATGGTTTTAATAGTTCCTTTAGATACACTATATTGCCAAAAGTATTGGTCGCCGGCCTTCCCACGCACATGACCTTTAATGGCCTCCCAATCTTAGTCCATAGGGTTCAATATTGAGTTGGCCCCGCCCTTCCCACACACATGACCTTTAATGGCCTCCCAATCTTAGTCCATAGGGTTCAATATTGAGTTGGCCCCGCCCTTCCCACACACATGACCTTTAATGGCCTCCCAGTCTTAGTCCGTAGGGTTCAATATTGAGTTGTCCCCGCCCTTCCCACACACATGACCTTTAATGGCCCCCCAGTCTTAGTCCGTAGGGCTCAATATTGAGTTGGCCCCGCCCTTCCCACACACATGACCTTTAATGGCCTCCCAGTCTTAGTCCTTAGGGTTCAGTATTGAGTTGGCCCCGCCCTTTCCACGCACATGACCTTTAATGGCCTCCCAGTCTTAGTCCGTAGGGTTCAATATTGAGTTGGCCCCGCCCTTTGCAGCTATAACAGCTTCAACTCTTTTGAGAAGGCCATCCACAAGGTTTAGGAGGGTGTCTATGGGAAGGTTGGACCATTCTTCCAGAAGCACATTTGTCAGGTCAGGCACTGATGTCGGGGGAGGAGGCCTGGCTTGCAGTCTCCGCTCTAATTCATCCCAAAGGTGTTCTATGGGGTTGAGGTCAGGACTCTGTGCAGGACAGTCAAGTTCCTCCACCCCAAACTGGCTCCTCCATGTCTTTATGGACCTTGCTTTGTGCACTGGTGGGCAGTCATGTTGGAACAGAAAGGGGCCATCCCCAAACTCTTCCCACAAAGTTGGGGGCATGAAATTGTCCAAAATGTCGCCTTAAGAGTTCCCGTCACTGGAACTAGGGGGCCAAGCCAAACCCCTGAAAAACAACCCCACACCATAATCCCTCTCCACCAAACTTTACACTTAGCACAATGCAGTCAGGAAAGTACCGTTCCTGAGAGCTCCTGAGAGCGACCCATTCTTTCACCAATGTTTGTAGAAGCCGTCTGCATGCCTAGGGGCGTGATTGTATACACCTGTGTCCATGGAGGGGATTGGAGCACCTGAATCACATGATTGGGAGGGGATTGGAGTACCTGAATCACATGATTGGGAGGGGATTGGAACACCTGAATCACATGATTGGGAGGGGATTGGAACACCTGAATCACATGATTGGGAGGGGATTGGAGCACCTGAATCACATGATTGGGGGGGATTGGAACACCGGAATCACATGATTGGGAGGGGATTGGAACACCTGAATCACATGATTGGGAGGGGATTGGAGCACCTGAATCACATGATTGGGAGGGGATTGGAATATCTGAATCACATGATTGGGAGGGGATTGGAACACCTGAATCACATGATATGGAGGGGATTGGAACACCTGAATCACATGATTGGGAGGGGATTGGAACACCTGAATCACATGATTGGGAGGGGATTGGAACACCTGAATCACATGATATGGAGAGGATTGGAACACCTGAATCACATGATATGGAGGGGATTGGAACACCTGAATCACATGATTGGGAGGGGATTGGAACTCCTGAATCACATGATATGGAGGGGGGGGGGGCAATACTTTGGGCAATATAGTGTATTTATTTCCAAATAATATTGTATTGTTTTATATAAACTATTATGTAATAAGTAGTTATATTATTTTTTATACTTTTATTGTTACAGGAAAAAAAAATCCTATATATATTTATAAAACATTCTCTATTATATTCTATTTTCTGTGCAATTTTTCCAAACTGCACAGAGCTGTTCCTGGTTATTTGTACATCATCAGTGCGGAGTACGGCGACCATTGCTTGTATAGTGTCTGCGACATACCGAGACCCCTTCTATAGTCTGCGACATACCGAGACCCCTTCTATAGTCTCCAACATACCGAGACCCCTTCTATAGTCTGCGACATACCGAGACCCCTTCTATAGTCTGTAAAATAATGAGACCTCTTCTATAGTCTGCGACATACCGAGACCCCTTCTATTGTCTGTAAAATAATGAGACCTCTTCTATAGTCTGCGACATACCGAGACCCCTTCTATTGTCTGTAAAATAATGAGACCCCTTCTATAGTCTTCAACATACCAAGACCCCTTCTATAGTCTCCAACATACCGAGACCCCTTCTATAGTCTCCAACATACCGAGACCCCTTCTATAGTCTCCAACATACCGAGACCCCTTCTATAGTCTCCAACATACCGAGACCCCTTCTATAGTCTGTGACATACCGAGACCCCTTCTATAGTCTGTAAAATAATGAGACCCCTTCTATAGTCTGTGACATACCGAGACCCCTTCTATAGTCTGTGACATACCGAGACCCCTTCTATAGTCTCCAACATACTGAGACCCCTTCTATAGTCTCCAATATACAAAGACCCCTTCTATAGTCTCCAACATACCGAGACCCCTTCTATAGTCTGTAAAATAATGAGACCCCTTCTATAGTCTCCAACATACCGAGACCCCTTCTATAGTCTGTAAAATAATGAGACCCCTTCTATAGTCTGTAAAATAATGAGACCCCTTCTATAGTCTTCACATACAAGTGAGACCTTCTACAGTGTCCAACATTACAAAACCCCTTCTATGGTCCGCCATGTAAGGAGACCCCTTCTATGGTCCGCCATGTAAGGAGACCCCTTCTATGGTCCGCCATGTAAGGAGACCCCTTCTATGGCCCGCCATGTAAGGAGACCCCTTCTATAGTCACAAACAGATGTCTCCTTTTATGTATTTCTTAGTGTATATTTGACAAGTTTTCACCTACGTTGGTTACTATGAGCAGAAGGAATCTGTAGATGTCTCCTCTCCTTCCTCTGTCCTCCCCTCCCCCCCCCAGGCTCCTCCGACTCCTCGTGTGATTGGGGTTGGGTACACCACGGCCTCAGCTGCTACTTGTTGGTCCGAATCTCCCAGCCGTGGTCATCTGCCAAGAAGGACTGCGAGGACAGGGATGGTCACCTGGTGGTCATCAACAACGAGGAGGAGATGGTGAGCAGACCTGCAGAATGAAAAACAATCATTTTGATTCGCTAAGTTACTAATTCCATTTTTTTGCGCTTGCAACACGATTTGTTTTGTTTTCGACCGGATTCAAAGTTTTCCCAGTGAATTCAAAGTATTCAAATCGAATCAATCCAAATTTATTGTGAAGAATAGCTGCTTCTGTTCTATTAAAAATTCCACCTTTGGAAGACAGTTATATTCTATTTTATTCTTGTCTTTTTTTCCTTTTCTATTCTTTTCCATTTTATTCTATTCTATTTTTTTCTATTCTATTTTATTCTCTTCTTTTCATTTTTTCTATTTTTTTCTATTCTATTATTTTCTATTCTATTTTATTCTATTTTTTCTGTTCTGTTATATTCTTTTCTATTCTTTTTTTTTTCTATTCTGTTTTATTCTATTCTTTTTTTAAATTCTCATTTTGGAAGATGGCTATATTGTTACAATTTTATTCTATTCTATTTGTTTTTATTCCTTTCTATCATTTACTATTTACTATTATATTCTAGTTTAGACTGTGTAAACGTATAAGCTCCTCTGGTACAGAGACTGATGGGACTGTGGGGGAGGGGACATTAGAGTGTAAGCTCCTCTGGCACAGAGACTGATGTGACTGTGGGGGAGGGGACATTAGAGTGTAAGCTCCTCTGTACAGAGACTGATGTGACTGTGGGGGAGGGGACATTAGAGTGTAAGCTCCTCTGGCACAGAGACTGATGGGACTGTGGGGAGGGGACATTAGACCGTAAGCTCCTCTGGTACAGAGACTGATGTGACTGTGGGGACATTAGAGCGTAAGCTCCTCTGGTACAGAGACTGATGTGACTGCGGGGGAGGGGACATTAGAGTGTAAGCTCCTCTGTACAGAGACTGATGGGACTGTGGGGGAGGGGACATTAGAGTGTAAGCTCCTCTGGTACAGAGACTGATGGGACTGTGGGGGAGGGGACATTAGAGCGTAAGCTCCTCTGGTACAGAGACTGATGGGACTGTGGGGGAGGGGACATTAGAGCGTAAGCTCCTCTGGTACAGAGACTGATGGGACTGTGGGGGAGGGGACATTAGAGCGTAAGCTCCTCTAGTACAGAGACTGATGGGACTGTGGAGGAGGGGACATTAGAGTGTAAGCTCCTCTGGCACAGAGACTGATGTGATTGTGGGGGGAGGGGACATTAGAGTGTAAGCTCCTCTGGCACAGAGACTGATGGGACTGTGGGGGAGGGGACATTAGAGCGTAAGCTCCTCTGGTACAGAGACTGATGGGACTGTGGAGGAGGGGACATTAGAGTGTAAGCTCCTCTGGCACAGAGACTGATGTGATTGTGGGGGGAGGGGACATTAGAGTGTAAGCTCCTCTGGTAGAGACTGATGGGACTGCGGGGGAGGGGACATTAGAGCGTAAGCTCCTCTGGCACAGAGACTGATGGGACTGCGGGGGAGGGGACATTAGAGCGTAAGCTCCTCTGGCACAGAGACTGATGGGACTGTGGGGGAGGGGACATTAGAGCGTAAGTTCCTCTGGTACAGAGACTGATGGGACTGCAGGGGAGGGGACATTAGAGCGTAAGCTCCTCTGGTACAGAGACTGATGGGACTGCGGGGGAGGGGACATTAGAGGGTAAGCTCCTCTGGTACAGAGACTGATGGGACTGTGGGGGAGGGGACATTAGAGTGTAAGCTCCTCTGGCACAGAGACTGATGGGACTGTGGAGGAGGGGACATTAGAGTGTAAGCTCCTCTGGCACAGAGACTGATGTGATTGTGGGGGGGGAGGGGACATTAGAGTGTAAGCTCCTCTGGTAGAGACTGATGGGACTGTGGGGGAGGGGACATTAGAGTGTAAGCTCCTCTGGTACAGAGACTGATGGGACTGCGGGGGAGGGGACATTAGAGCGTAAGTTCCTCTGGCACAGAGACTGATGGGACTGCGGGGGAGGGGACATTAGAGCGTAAGCTCCTCTGGTGCAGAGACTGATGGGACTGTGGGGGAGGGGACATTAGAGGGTAAGCTCCTCTGGCACAGAGACTGATGGGACTGTGGGGGAGGGGACATTAGAGTGTAAGCTCCTCTGGTTGTCATTACCCGTACAGGAAATATTGGGAGATGCCCACTATCACACTGATAATGATTTATTTGTCTTTCTGAAGGGTTTTCTGAGGTCAATCCCGCAGTCTGTATGGTGGCGACTGTGGATCGGTCTGAAGGTGGAGGACGGGGCCTGGAAATGGGTGGACGGGACTTCTTATGACAAAACTTCCAAGTAAGAGACAAAACCCCCAAATATTAAACTTCCTCCCCTCCCTGAAGAGGAACTGATTGTCCCATTAATGTGAAATTTCTCCATTTTTGAGCAGATTGGGGAACACGTTCCCTACAGATCTCAGCTTGTTTCTGCAGTTTCATTGTTCCTGAATGGTCCTGTAAAGCAGAACTCACACTGGGAGAGGGAGAGGCAATCAGTTGATACTACAGTGTACTCGGGCTGGCAGGAGAGAACAGAGGGAGGAATGTAATGGGCTTATCAGGCTGCTGCTCCTTCACTGTCCAATCACTGGCAGGGGGCGGGGAGGTGACCAGGTTGTATTGCTGAACTGCCGCAGATCAGCATCCTGGATGGACAGAAGTAAGGGCTCCTCCAGAGGTGGATCTCCTCCATATTTGCTTCTAGTCAGTGACAGCCTTAGTCTGATCTGTAATGTCTTTTATTTCCTGCAGGTTCCTGGTGAACACTGAGTTGACCTATTTAGATGGCAAATGGATGTTTGATAGATATGGAACCTGGGAGGAGTGCGGGCAGCTGGAGAATGGAATTGAACTTAGAAATTCCCATTGTTCCAACTCCTTCCCATACATCTGTGAGAAGAAGATGTCCTGACCGGCACTGATGAAGCCAAGGAACCACCTGATATCTCCATCCACTCGACTCTCCACCTCCTGTACTACAGTGTCCTGACCTGCACTGATAGAGCCTAGAAAACCCCAGATATCCCCATCCACTCATTACTCCACCTCCTGTACTACAGTGTCCTGACCAGCACTGATGAAGCCTAGAAAACCCCTGATATCCCCATCCACTCATCACTCTGCCTCCTGTACTACAGTGTCCTGACCGGCACTGATGAAGCCTAGAAAACCCCTGATATCCCCATCCACTCATCACTCTGCCTCCTACACTACAGTGTCCTGACCTGCACTGATGAAGCCTAGAAAACCCCAGATATCCCCATCCACTCATCACTCCACCTCCTGTACTACAGTGTGCTGACCAGCACTGATGAAGCCTAGAAAACCCCAGATATCTCCATCCATTCATCACTCTGCCTCCTACACTACAGTGTCCTGACCTGCACTGATGAAGCCTAGAAAACCCCTGATATCTCCATCCATTCATCACTCCTGCACTACAATGTCCTCACCTGCACTGATGAACTCTAGAGAACACCGGATATCTCCACCCACTCA